TGAAAAGTTGCTTCAAACATGGGCGACTCTTAAGTGCAAACCGAATCAAGATATTTTACAGTAATTCTTTTTTCGAACACGTACCGGTAGATCGAGTTATGAATTCTTCTAGCGATTAATGAATAATTCAAAGCAACTGAAGTTCCAGCTCTATTCGAGTGAAAAACGTAGGAAATTTGTTCGACACGTTGTTCTTTTCTCGGAGTTTTGTATTTCATGTCGAATATCAGTTACTACTGTCTCAAAAATAAGAAAAGAAGAAGAAGATGGTGATTGTACCTAGTATAATTCAATTAAAAGAAACCTCAAATGTATCCTTTCTGAGGTATATCTAGACACAGTTATCATCATTTTTCGCTGCACTAAAGGAAGGAAGGTAAAGATAACTGTTTGTTAAAATATTAAGTTGTTCGGGAAGTTCATAACGTTTTTAAAGTTGGGAAATGTGAAATAACAAAGTATTAAATTGAGACGAATTTCCTCAGTTGAACATTAAATGTGGCAATTAATGAGAAAAGTTTGAGATCGGTTAATAGCAAAGACGTTTTTCAACGAAAAACTTTTTTATAATGACAAGATACAGAACATTTTAGGACAGTGCAAAAACCACTTGAAGCGATCGATTGCTAAAAAGGACGAGAAGTTCTTCAGGAGAGCGATCATGCAGCTAACCAATAACTCGCAAAAAGTCATCGTAAATATTCTATAAAATCCTTTAAGTATTTTACCTTTCGTTACGAACTTTCTCGACAAGCCAATAATATCTTGAATCACTGACCTCTTATAGTTACTGTGAACCATGTAAAAAAGAAAAAAATAAAGGGAAAGGTACGCGATCCACGTTCTTTTAATAGGCACATGCACCGGAATGCAAGCGTTTCCGCAAGGAAGAGTTGTCTTTTGAAATTGTCTTACTGTTAACTCAAGACATTCGCAGCTGGTGGTCGCGCAGCAGTCACCACGACAAGGATATGTACGCACATACATGCATTGTAAATAGATATAGTAGTACATAAGTAGAAGCAAATGTAAATTAAAGTTAACCCCATTCGCCGACTCTTTTTGTTCAGCTGTCTGCGTGAAAGTTGCTTGTGGTGCCGGTACTGCATCCGCCGCCGCTATTTCTGCTGTGGTATAGATCGGCTTTACCTTGCCAATAACGAACTGAAGTATTTCGTGTTCCGTGTTTCGCATTTTACGTCGCCTCGTCGTCCCATCACTGCGGAGACGTACGTAGGAATCAGTGGTTTCACAAATATTGCCATCAAAATTTTCACCAGCATCACCCAATATGATTTTCCTTTGAGTCACGTGGAAATTGAATTCCATTTTTTACTCGAAAGTCGCATATTCGATAGATAGTTAGAAGTCTTCTCGGCCAAATTTAGTTGATAATAAAATTTTGATATCGTGAAATTGTGACATTGAAATATTATTGCCATTGTTATTAGGCAATTTTTATATTACTTTGATCTTTTATAACTTTTTATAATAATTTTATAGCGATAATAGGTATTTTTATCTAACATTTTTAAGTAAGATTGTACGATGAAGAATCTTGATGTAAATGTTATAAGCTTCTCTGTCGAAGATTCTCTCGTAATGTGAACGATGTCAAAAATTCAAAGTTAGGGGAAACGTTAACTGTAAGGCTGCACTAGTGACTTCGTTCTTCTATTATAAAGAGATTCGGCGCTCAAAGTAACCATCGAACACACGTATAACGATGGCTGGACAGAGTTGCTCTCGTTCTTTTCCCTCGAAGGTTCGCAGTTCAAACGAACTGAATCTCACTTTGTAACGTGAGACCATTTCTTTTTTCGCGGAATAACAATGTTTCACTCATGATAGAAATTGTACATTTAATTGTACATTTAATTGTACATGATAGAAATTGTACATTTGTAATTGTAAATTTAAATTTAATTGTAATTTAAATCTCCATTTTAATTTCATCTATACTATAAACAATATGCAACAAGCAGTACAAATGTAAACTTATTAATTTATTTCTGTAATCTTCAGTAATAAGTAACTGTCGCATCGTATTAACTTTTTGGCTCCATTGCAAGAACAATATTGCATGCAATAATCACGCGATGTTATGTTCATATAACTTATGGTATCGTCTTCTCCGTATGTCTAACATGCAGTAGAAACTTAGCACGTTTCACGAGGTATTATATTCGTCGACACGCGACACATTTCACCGTGTAATTTATTTGTAGTTAGACCGTACGTTACAATTTAAATAATTTCGCCGTGCCAGTATAACGCACAAGCGCCGTCAGTTATTTGCAACATACATTACGCTTTACAATTTACATTTAACTTCACCTTTCTTGTCGCATGCGCTTCACAAATTTCCATAGTATACGTTTACCCCGACTTATTTAAATCGCCTCGAGGATAGATCTGAGATGTATTAAACGTGTAGGTTGTTTGATAAGAAACGAGTGGATGAATTTGTACTAGTCAGTCGTAGTAAAATTCATGTAAGTACAAGAGATAGTGTAAGCCAGTTATAATCGTCGCTTGCTCAATACTATTTACTTTATCGATCGCAGAAAGGATAATAATCAATCAATCCCCTAAGGAGCACGTTCATACATTTATATCGACAGGCGTTACCACAAAAAGTTAACCTTCTTGTGTAACTCTAGCTGAAGATTACAGGAAACAGCAATAACAATCTTTCCCGATTTCGTTTGCCTTTAGACCTTGTGAGACCAAAACAATCATTAGTATTCAAAGGTACAATAATATGGGTCTGTCCCAGATCTGAATATTCTGTTGACTTTTTCTATGCTCATATGCTGCTACAGATCGTTATCCTGTTTTTTCTTCGGTTTCGATTCGTAATGACGATAATTATCAAAATACCATATATTGGGCTGGCAACTAAGTGATTGCGGATTTTGTCAATACCACCTAATGGCAGAATCTGCATTCAACCACTTAACGATATTCAATATAAAATACGATTATGTATAATAGTGTCGTTTGTCAAAATCGATTAGACAGCTTCAAAGAAGCAGGCCCAATATCTATGTTGTAAGATCATGCGACTTACAAGGAGATTTTGATACAGATCTCTGAGAAAGTATTTTGAGAAATTAATTCGTATCTACTTCACTATTAAAATTTTCATTTCATTTGTCGACTAGATACATGTTACGACTAATGGCTCATTTTCAATGATAATTTACATACTTACAATTGGTTATTACCTTTGTCAAAATATACAAGTATTAACGCGTTCCTTAATGAACGAGGAAAATTAGATACATTGGTTATCAAAAGTTGCCATTTCTATTTCGATTATACTATAAATATCAATACTTTAAAAACAAAATTCTTCTTCATTATTTTCAAGAGCAATTGTTATTATATATTGTTTTGGAATCCTTGATTTTGAAACTGTCACAGCCACTTTTCCTTCCGAATCTTTTCTCAAAAGCACTAGAGACAAACGAATTAAGCGAGCACGATACCGATAAATATCCGCACAATAGTCAGGCACGGTGAGCTAATAACGAGACTTGTTGACCCGCTTGCAAATCGAATAAGCAACAGTGAATCGTGGGGCCAGATAATTTCGTCGATCACTTTGAAAATCAATGTCGCGCGAATTGGTAAAATTGTCGCGGCACACGCCCGTTACATTGTTCATGCTTTAAAGCAAACTACCGTCAATGGTAATTAACAATTTATTGTCACGTAGACGCGTGAACCAATATGAGCGATCAAGTCGCCGACACGACTATACAAAACAATTTTCGACGATATACATAACGCGGAAACGAGTCTACGCTACCTCTTTGTCGATCGTTTAGATCGCGGATTAGAATTACAAATACTTTATCGAGGATGAAATCGTACGCGAAACCGTATCAGTACCGTTACACGTGTTGGTCGAACGGAAAGGCCACGAATCTGTTCAATGGTGTGCACAAAGCGGAACGTAACGCCGTGAACGCATGTCCCGTGGAATATGGAAAATTAACAATCTCGCGTTAGTCCAGTGGCAAAGGGAATCGTAACACGCTCGCCGAATACCGTCAGACAACAATTTCAATAATAGCCATACGTTACAGATTTTCGTTTTGCCGAATAAACGCGCGTTGCAGATAGACACGTGCTTTTCAGTGTCCAGTAATCGACCGTGATCGATGTAAACGAAGAACGTTTATTCGATGAATGTATTTTGATAGAATATGTTCTTTTATATGCTTGTTATCGTTTGCCGTTTTTTTCGATACCGCTCAACATATAGAGATTGATAACAATTTTGTCGGCGACAAGGTCGAACGAAATTTATATTTATATAGATTTAGATAATATCAATATTTATTAATATAGAAATATAAATATCTCGAGCGAAAAGACGCCATGAGGGTATAAAGGTATTATTAATAGTTAATAGTATTAGATACGCCAAATGTTCTTGTTTTGAATCTATGCTACTACCTTCTATCATTATCTTTTATGATAGTGCTAATGAAACTTCATTAGTGCTAATGAAACTTCAAAATGTTTTATATAACAACGCAATATAGATATACAAATTTACACAAAACAAAATTTTTCTGAACAATTACATGTCGTTTGGTTAGGAAACAAAGCGATCGATCCACGTCCATGAAACATCAGCCGGAGTTCGTCTTTGACCGAGCTGTTAGTCAAGTTTCGCGGAACAGGATCGAACGTCATCGAGGAGAAACAGCAGCTTGAGGCCAGATAACGACGATGGAAGTGGTTAGGGTAGTCAATTTTGCGATGCAAGGCTGCACGAGTCGAAAGTTCGCTCGGTGGAAACGGCCGATAAAGCGCGACGATGGCGAGGTGTAGTTCTGTCCCGTTCGTCGAAAATAGACGCGTTCGAATATCGAACCAACCAATTCAATCTGTCAACCGGGATAGCCACGGAAATATTCACATTATAGAAAAAAGAATAACGATTAACGAATGTGTTTAACCATGGTTTTCCATTGTTTCAGGCATGCTATGCGTCAGAAGACTGGAAACAGAGGTTCTCGCGGAAGATGACAGCGTTAAGTAGATAAAGGAACAGCTGCTGGTTCCACCGACCGACGACGACGACGATTCATCGCGTTTTCCATGCAGTGCACAATGCTCTGCCATCGCGCTCTTGTCGTTCTCTTTGCTGTCAACGTGCCAATCGGTGAGTGAAAAAGTTAACGGTGTCGTTTGCTTTTGGTTGTCTTTCGTCCGATTCAGGTCGACAATTTTACCTGACGCTGATGGTTTGGACGAGAAATAAACGATTCTTAAAATACAAATTTCGTTTGGTTAGATTTTATCTGAAAATAAAAATTATATTCGCAATCAGTGAAATAGTTTTCCAATTGATGCGATGATTAAATTCAAACTGTTTTAAAAAATATATTATGGTTTAGGGAAAATACGTACAAAATGCCATAGACACTATCGGATGAATCGAATTTCTTTTAAATAAATGTTCATTGCAGTCTCTAAAAGGACCTATAAATTAAAATCTCAATTTCACTACGAAAATCGGAAATCGTTCAAACCTCTGCTTGCTCAATTTATTTCAACAGCTATATACATTTCAATTCACTTCCTACAATGAAACAGAAAAGAAGAAAAGAAAAAAGAAAACGAAGCAGAAACAGAATACACTTCTTGCGGCGAAGCGAATCGAGCATGTTTCCCGATTCTGGCGTCGAAGTCAATCATCAAACAGTTCTCGGTAAACTCGAAATTGGAGCGCAATCGGCCGAGAGTTCCCCGGTGCAAAAGCAGTTAGCCCGCTAATTTCGCAGATCACCGGGACCCGAATTAGATATCAATTCGCATCGCAGCAGTTCGCGGATTGCGATCGACACAGTTAGGTATATAGCGAATGTAGAAATCCCGGTGGTTGCGCGACGCGCGACGTCCGATGCAGATATACAACGGAGGTAGAGGAACGAGGTAGGAAACCCGGTGCCAAACACGAGCCAAGGGGGAACGGTTAGCTGAACGAATTTCGGATATGCGCCGGGACCTGGAAACCGACATCGTAGCGACGTCGTTCCCGGTCGCCGGTCAACTTCTGCCGCTGATGTTTATTCCCTGAAACCGAGGGAGAAACGACGGCCGATAGCAATGCCGACTGGGCTTGTCGTTCGCGAATTAATTTACCGTTTCCAGATCTCGAATCTTACGCTCTTCACCCAGATGTACAGGTTCTGCGGCTGGATCCTTCGATTCTCACAGACGTATCCTTCGATTCTGTCCCTTCCACGGAAATTCTAGCACGAATTCAACCCGATCCTATGGAATTCGAATCGAGCCCTTTCGGTCGACCTGTTTAATTTGCGGAAGAAACGAAGAAAATAAATTACTCCTCTCTCTCTCTCTCTCTCTCTCTCTCTCTCTTCCATTTCCCCAGTGTCTCTGGATAGTTTATCTCCGTTCTGTATGCGATCTTTTACTACATCTGAAGACTATCTATGTACTATATGAAGCGTCCCATAACGGAATAACATTACCTGAAAAAATAGGTATGGTAACTGACTACGAACGATGTATCGTTTTGCGTCACACGAGCGAGTGTCGTCGTGCAAGGTAAAAGAGGAAATAATTAAATAAGTTTAGGGTAACTGGTCCTCTCATCCGTTCACATCTCGACAACGAGTTTTCTTGATTGAAAAATAATTAAATGAGTTTGTTGCATGGTGTCGGATACATTGGCGTGTAGCCAAGCTTTACGGAGAACAGAATTTAGCAGCGATTTGTCTGCTGGAACGGTGTCGCGGATATTCTATGGAACAAAGCGTGGATTAACGGTACGAGTGAATGAACTTAAGAAGCTCTAACGAGTGGTTCGCGATCAGATTATCATCACTCTGTTGCGTAATTTTGAAATTCTTTCTGCCTCTCCTTTCGTACAATATTTTTAATACTTTGTAGCCGTAATAATTTATTCGCGTCTTTGTTACAGCGTAATTCCTCTTTTGAATAGGAATACAGTAAATATTCGTCCATTGATGAACTGTTGTTTTCGTATTTCTAAGTAGCTGATAATACGACATTCGCAGAAAAAAGTACAACGAATACCGCATTAAAAGCAATATTTAATAGCAAAATAAGCGTATAAACTTAAAAATGATTGATAAAGATACAAAAATCAGGTAACTGCTGTTCGCTGTTACTTTATTCGTTCCTTTCATTCTCTCGTCCTCTATCCTACGAATGTGATTAGGTTTGTACATCGGAATCAGATGTAGGGATGGATGGCTGAGAGAGTTTCCTCGTTCAGACGTCAATCACCCATTATCCAGTTTAAATTATGCTTGACTAACGAGAATGCATTGCCATTCTCCTCAAATACGTTCCTCGTTGCAGACTACGAATTCTCATCCACATTTCCATTCTCAACGTTGCTACAGCTTGAAACATTTGTATTTTTATCTTCTATCTTGTTAAGTGTGCATCTGTTTCTGCATTTTTTTAAATGCTAGCGGGGAAACCTGGCCAAGCTTTCGATGATAAGAAATTATTCTTGTTTAAACCATTATGTGGATAATATGATTCATCTTGGATATGTAAATATAACTAACAATGAGCAGGTATCTATCGCAATTGAACAGCGATATATCGTTTCTATAATCGTTTGTCTTTTTCTCATTAAGCTTTCCAATACTTGATCGCAATGCCGAATTATTGTTACATAACCATATTTGTCGTGCAAGAAAAGCGATCTTGGTTTGTCCGAATATTAACGTTAGACTTGCTCAACAGCTCCACCGTGACCTGGTATGGCGTAAATACCAGTATCTATGTTTACGGCTGCGAGTTGCATTTAGACCAACTACTTGCATAGTAGTAATTTGTGGATTTAGTCGACCATAAATTCAACAGTCCTAACACTGATTGCAATATGATGTTGACGTAAGATGCTCTATGCTTGATATCGTACATATAGACGTAACAGAATTTTCAATTAATCTGACGGTGGATTATAATCGTTAATATAAATTTTATTTGATTTCCTTTTGATCGTGGAAGAGCAATCTTCGTAAACGAATCGTACAGAAATAACTAATTTTCATTCGTTTTCAATATGTTTGTACTGAAAATTTTCAATTCATCATAGATATATTTACAGCGTGAGGAAAAAATATTTATTAAATGCAATTAAACTAAACTGTTACAACGCGATTTATGTGATTTCATTTATTGTCCCTCACGCCCTCTCTCTTTCTCTCTAATTGTCTATCAGTTTTTCATCAGTTTTTCAGTCCATTCCTCCATAATTACGCATCAAGCCACATTGATTCAGATGCAGGTATTCATCGAAAAATTTTATTTATTTTATCTAGTCCTCTCCTCTCACGTTGGGACGAACTTCCGATTTTACATTATATTAGATCCTTCAAAATTTTGGCTTCTTAAAATGTACACTTTACTTCACATACAACAATTCAGAAAATATGAAATTCATCGTGAATTTAATTTAACACTTCTGCATTATTATCTACTTTATACGTTTATCTAGGCGTATACTATCGTCATGCTTTTATTAAATTGATCTTGGCAATCCCTGTCACCGTGTATCGATATTGTAACAGAAGAGATTAGAAGTGCCTGCGAAAAATGTTCACCAGCCAAATCTTCCAATATAATATCGAAAAAATGTGGCAGCTTCTCCTTTTTATTACCACTACCTGGAACACCTGTTTGCTTCATGGCGATACTGCCGTCAGCCAATATTTATCAGTCAGCGCCGTTGACAACGATAAACTGTATCCTTCTATGTGGCACGACAGGATGTCGCTCCCGCCTAGACATCCGGAACTACAGGATCCATCCAAGAAGAGATTTGGGTCTCGAATCGGTGTCGTTGAGAGGAACGTAGAACGACTCGAACATGGAAGCATGAACCGAGAGCATGGAACATAGAGAAAGGAGAGAACAGGAAGAACCGAGAGAGAGAGAGAGACAGAGACAGAGACAAACAGACAGACAAACAGACAGACAGTGTGAGGGAGAGAGGAGTAGAAATTGAGAGTCCTATCTCTTGGCCGGTAGATAAGATTGTTTGTCCATACTCCGTATCACGGTCGGATTCGTCGATTGTTCCATGGGAACACTAGCTGTCTCTCGTTCCCCCTTTCTCTCGCCCTCTTATCTGAAAACAACGACCTTTCCGGGCAAATTGGTTGGCTCAGCTCGAAGTCTAGTAAAACGTGATTAATCGCTCGCTTCCTTTCGCGGAATGTATCTCCACCTTGAAGCAACCTAGCCACGGCAGACTAACACACGCATGTGCCTTTGCTATCATCGTCTCAAGCCACACAAATATATCGTATATAGTGATAATCGGATAACTGCGGTTCAGAACTCAATTGGGTTTCCTTAGACACGAAGGGTCAAGTCCCGCGCACTGCTTTCTCCTCTCGGGACGATGGAAGAAAGCTGAAAAGAAAGGAGGAGCTGCGAGAGCTTGCTGGAAAAGAAAAGAACAGGAAAAGAAGAAATAAAGAAAGAAAAAAAAGCGAAAGTATACGTTCGTTAAGGGTGGCTCGAATACAAGGCCTTCGAGCAAGTTTAAAACGCATCCGCGAGTTTTACTTCTTCCCGACCGAGAGCCATTTCGTGGCTACATATACCCCTATCTAAACGAATTAAAGTTACGAGTTGCCGTTTTTTCCTCCCTACGACCATATGTTACCGCTCTTGTGGCTGGCTAATCGGAAGAATTGCAGCGCCGCGCATTTCGTCCAACTTTCTGAAACGATTCGTGAAAGATACATCAATACTTTTCTATTTTTGCTCTTTTCTTAAATAAGAATTGAAAATCGATGGAATCGAAGAACGAATTTATAATGTGAGGCGGGATAATCTTCTCTGAACCTTTGTTTCTATGCATTTTTTGAATAAAAACGTATTAAGTATCTAATATCTGTAATCCCTCGTTAATTAAATTATTATTCTGTAAGTTTGGGACACCCTGTACATGATCTTCTACGTTCACACACGAGATGTTTAAATTTTGCGAAGCATCCACTCGTAAATACCTTCAGTGGAGAAAAACACAGATTATCGAATATAGAACGTTTTTATTATTTCCAGTTTCATTTGTTCTTTAAAATCTAACATTCGACCTAACATTGTTTTATCAGCTGCAGAGACCTTCTAATTGTTGTTTCGTTT